CCTGCTGAAACATTAATAAGTCAGAGAAGAAAACCAAAGTAGGGCATTTCTGATCCAGTGATTTGTTTTGTCCTACTGGCAGAAAAACAAACTCTGCATTACTGCTTTTTATAGATGAATACTGGAGAAAGAAACCTTTAATTTTGGCCCTGTTTAATAGACAAGCACAGGAATAAATGTTAGCCAAGCAGAATACTAGATTTTTATGAGAGGAAGAAAAGCTTGTTAGGCTATAAAACATTTCTTAAAATGAACTGTAGAAATGAATCATCAATATTTATTTGTCAGAATTTTTTTATTTGGTAATCATGCTTTGCAACAATTATCACCTGGCAGAGAAGGAAATTATTCTGTAAGGAACTAGGGAAGCCTTATGTGCTATTGATTTCCATCCTGTGCCTTGTATTTTCACTTGTTTTCTCACTCTGTTTCCTACAGCATACTCAGGCAAGGGGCTGCTTGGCTAATTCAGAGTTATAAACTTGCTAGCCAGCAAGTCTTTGTGTGCTGACTGTTGAATTTACTACTCCCAAGCAGAGCACTGATTTGAGTCTTCCTCATCTTCTGTATACAAATTGTCATAATCACTGGAGAAAATTTGCCAGTTGCTCCAAGGGAGGTCAGGAGGAGTCAGCTCAAGCACAGGGCAGGCAGACAACACAACTGCCTACAACTGATGCACTTAGGAAGCCAGGGTGTGCTGGGAATCCCAGCCCATGGCTAAACTGTGTCCATGGTGTTGGCCTCTGTTTCAATTCACTGTATTTGGCTGTATGACCTATTTGCTATAGTGTATTTGGTTGTAATAATAATGCAGTGATTATAGTCCTCATTTATCACTTAAACTAGATCCCTTCTACCTCCTTTGTTTTTGTGCTGTCTGATCCTGCTCAGCTATTAAGCTACGTGTGTGGGTGTGTATAGTGTATGTGGGAATGAGAAGAGATGTTTTCTTTTAGTGGAATTAAATTTTGAAGATTAAAATTCAGCAGTTTTATTTTTCCTTATCTTTTCATAAAGACTTTCATTAATCCTACCATAATATCTCCAGAAGGTGACCGGGGGAATATGCGCTTTGATGAATGTTTGTTTAATGCAGGATTATCTATATTATTCATGTGTTTTATTCACATTAAAACTCTGCTGATCAGCTCATTTTCATGTTGAGTAGTCAGAATTGAATGAGGAAGGTGAGCATTAGTAGACTAAGTGACTTTTTAGTGAAGAGCAGAACAAATACAGCATACAGTGCACTGTGTCTTGTCCAGTATCCTTCTGAGTTACAATGTGGTAACCCTCTTGTTTCACTGGAAAGCTTCTTGCAAGTCTTCCTAATGCCCACATTTAGATTACAGACTTCTTGTGCCACCTCTGAACAAAGTACCAGCCATCTTTACCTTATGAATGAGGGTACAGAAAATAAAGGAAAATTTATATTTTAAGAGAATTTGTGGAGAACTAATTATTATTTATCAAATATAGCTCTTAAGACTGAAAGATATTTTATGTATTTCAAGTATTCTTTTTCTTTTATATAAGAAAATACTTTGGCCAAAGACACGAGATCATATGAGAATGCTGTTTGTAAGAAAAAAATATAGTGTTTCAGACAATGCGTAAAATATTAGAGGAGAAATAAGAAATGCCACATGAAGGAGAATGGATCTGCCTTTAGGAAGACATGCACTATAATTCTGCGTTTTGTCTTACAGGTACATCATCCCAGCTTTGCAGAGGTCTGATGCTGGCTTTTATCAGTGCGTTGTACGGAACAGGATGGGGGCACTGCTGCAGAGAAGATCTGAAGTTCAAGTGGCATGTATGTTTGAATGGAAGTTACTCTGTGTTTCACTAGTAAACCAATTATTTTTTTTGATAAATCCTCAATATACCCATAACGCTTGCTACTCTGAAAAGTTATTGCATATCATATTTAATAATTTTTTAAATTACTGCATCACAAGAAGTTTCACACTTTAGTTATCTTCTGGTAAGCAGTTCAAGGCGGTGCAACATTAAGTCTTTAAAGCAAGCTTTAAGCTGTTCAAAGCCATCAAAGAGATCATTTGGAGATAGCTGTAGCATGAGAAAACTATTTTACCTTTCCCTGAATAGGCAGGGATTAAGAAAGGTCATATAGCACAAAATAAACAATCAATCAAAACAATAAAAAAAGGAAAAAGCCCAGAGGACAGCAGAGGATATCTGAAAGAAACCATCTGGTGGAGATAGCTGCGTGAAGATTTCAGATCATAATCCGTGTGATACAAAATAAGCACTTGTTTCACAATGAAAACCTTGCTAAGGAAACTTCAAGAGTCTCTTACAGAACACCTTTCTCAACCAAACCCTCTAATGTTTGTACCACTTTAGTTTGGACTATGCAGAATTTTTGAGTTAACCATTGATTTGATATCTAACTTCCATTTAGAAGTGTTAAACTAGGAGTCATTAGGGCTAGTTAACATGACCTAAGAAATGATTGCATACTCTCATTCTTTTCAGTTAACATATAGAAAATATAATCCAAAGAACTTGTTTGGAAATAGTAATAAAAGTAGGAATTTTTTCAAAGTAGAAAGGCAGATTTGTACACTGCATGTAAGCAATAGGATACATGGATCAAATTTCCTCAGGGTCAATAACTGAAAATTCAGTAGCAGTAAATGTCACTTGATAAGTGGAATTTAGATAAATTGAATTATTTATTGAAAACCCAATTCTAAGGAAGTGATTCAAGTTAATTGCTATGTCACGGGGGAAATTACATGGAATTTCCTGTGTTCTAAAATAAATGGTTGCAAATGATACTATTTAAGTTTTGTTGTCGTGTTCACCAGTTTGCCATATTACAGTGAATTGTTACTATATCTGTACTATGGGTAATATCAGTAATTTGATGTTTAATCTGTCAGTGGTATTGTTTCAGAGATGCTGGGAGCTAATGTAAAAATAGACTACTGCTAAAATGGGGTTTCCTTTCGTGCCTTCTACCAAGTCCTACACCCCTGCTGTATGCAACTCCTAGTGACCTTCTGCTCATTCTGACGTGTGTCAGAGCCTTGCAAGTACTTTTTTGAATGCTGTTCTTCTGGTTTCGTGAATTATATAAGGTCACAGAGGATCTGGTGAAGGCTGGTGTGAATGAGCATAGCTGTGAGTGGGATGAGGGACCTCCAACAAGGCTAGAAGGGGAAGATGGAGCAGGAGGAGGTGAGGGTGGGATGCCTCTAATGGCTCACTGCTGCAGAACACGATGAGTCTGGATGCCTCTGGAGTTGCATCTGCAGGTGTGGTTTGAGGGGACAAAGGCTTAGGTAGCAGTACCAAATTAGAATTTACCCATTTTCTCCTCCATCCCACTAATTGTTACTGCTCTTGTATTAGAATGTAATACACTATCCTGTTAGGCTCAGCAGGTAAAGTTGTTTGTGCAGCTGTGAACTGGGAAACTTCTCCAGAATTTAAAAAAAGCAACAATTATTTTGTAAGGTTTGTTAAAATAGTTCTTTTCCTCCCCATTTGATTCCCTGTGCAGCTGTACAGACAGTGGTACTGGCATAGTGGAGGGAGCAATTCTTGAGGAAGTACTTGTGGGAACGAGAGTGAGGAGGAGAGACAGGAATACTTTACCTTGATATTACTGCTGAAGAATTTTGTCTCTTGAAAATACAGCTTTATTCCTCTCTGGATGAGGGAAAATTTTGCAGGAAAGTGTTTTGTTTCTCCAGGCTTTTCTGTGTGTGCATTTGGTTGTTCTTCAGAGAGAAAGAAGTGTTATTGTTTACCTGGCTTGAGGTTTAAGTTTTTCTCCCATTTATTTTGAGTTCTGCACTGCTGAACAAGGCTAAAAAGCAATGTTTTAAGACTTCTCTGTCTGAATTAAGCAGTCTATTTATTTATTTTCACTGGTAAAGACATTGAGACAAAGCAAAGCAGATCATATATGACTTGGGAGATGTGTTGAATCTGTAGGGATGTGTATGGCTTCTATAGTGAAACGTGTCAGTCAGGCTTGCAGGTTGAATTGTTCTCCAAGCTTTAAATATCCTCTTTCTTCACTACCCAGTAGTATCTACTGATACTACTGATCAGTAGTATCTACTGATGCCATATGACTGTTTTCTATGTGTTAACATTTTCAATCTAAATTCATTGATTTAACCTATGTGACTATAATTAAGAATCTGATACTTTAAAATGTTTTGCTTCTTGATTATTCTTGAAAACATATCAGAAAGCAACATTCCAAGGGGTTACTGAAGTCATCTTATGCAGTCATAAAGAGATAGGGGGAACTGTGTGCTAGATGTTTGATTCAGAAAATGAACTTTTTTTGCCACTGACTAGAGGATGCTTCCCAATATACTTAAAGTCTCTAGTAAGGAAAGGAGAGGCACAGTTATAAAGTGAGTTATATACTGAGAAAGATCTGAGGTGTTTTCCATGTCCTAGATCTCTGAAGTAGCAGGGAACTTGTTAAATAATTTAATAAATGTTCTCAACCCATGCTAACATATTACTTAGCTAATTGGGAACAGGTATTTGTGAGAAAACTGATGAGTAAATCTTAATTACAGAATGGGCTTAAAAACTTATGAATTGTGAAGACTAAATCATATGACAGTGAAGTTAATTAGATCCACCCACGCAGTTTGAAACTTCTTTTCAAGTACATGATCTGATTGCAGTTGTAAGAAATACAGAGCAACAGAGGAAGTACAATGCTGATTATGTCTGAATAAATAACTCAAAAATCAAAGATGATTAAAGCTTCTTTAAAATACCATGTGTTTTTAATTTCTGCTCTTGTTCTGTCTCTTCTCATCTCCTGCCATCCACAGACCTGATAGTAGTCTTCTAGTTTTCGATGTCCTTTGCATCCCTCTGTGCTCTGTGCAGCAGGGAACTTTTAAATAGCCCTGTGATCCTTAAAAAAAAAAAAAGGGGTGGGGGGAGGAGAAAAGGGGAGAACTCAGTAGCAGAAACCAGAACAGTTCTCGTATGTGTGTCAGTGTCATGGTTTAAGGCAAATTAAAATGCACAGAAGTTCTTTGGAGGGTGAGTAAGTAATAGCCTACAGCTCTGTTTATTTTAACAGATAGAAAGTGATTCAAAAGGCAAAAGAATCACAGAATCATTTAGGTTCAAAGAAACCTTTGAACCTAAGGAACATCAAGTCCAACTATTAGCCCAGTACTGCCTGGTCATCACTGGACCATGTTACTCAGTGCCACATCTACACATCTTTTGAACAAGTTCAGGGATGGGGACTCCACCGCTACCCTGGGAACTCTGTTCCAGAGCTTGGCAACTCTTTTGGAGAAGATATTTTCCTGATATCCAACCTAAACCTCCCTTGGCTCAACTTGAGGCAATTTCCTTTTGTCCTATTACTTGTTACTTGGGAGAAGAAACTAATCCTCACCTTCCTACAACCTTCTTTCAGGGAGTTGTCATGAGCAATAAGGTCTTCCCTGAGCCTCCATTACTCGAGGCTAGACAACCTCAGTTCCCTCAGCCACTCCTCACAAGACTTGTACTGTAGACCTCTCACCAGCTTTGTTGCTCTTCTCTGGATGTGCCCCTCAATGTCCTCCTTGGAGTGAGGGGCCCCGGACTGAGCCCAGTATTTGAGGTGCAGCCTCCTCAGTGCTGAGTGGAAGGGGATGATCCTTGCCCTGTTTCTGCTGGCCACACGATTGCTGAGACAAGCCAGGATGTCATTTGCCTTCCACAAGAAGATGAAAGTATCCACTGAATTTTTACAAAGACTCCATAGATCTATGAACTTGTCTATGAAATAAAACTTTCAGAGACACAGAAAACTACAATTGCAGAACCTTTCTTCAATTATTTTTTTTTGTTAAAAGCTGTTCTTTGACACTTTGTAAGTGTCAAAGATCTAGACGCACTTTTTAAACCGTAGTATAGTGCCAGTAGAACTGATAGCTACAAACATGACTAGAGTTGTGTCATTTTGCTCTCCATGTGGGTGTAATGGCTACTTGCAGAGATCTGTTACAGCATACATCAGTTTGACTACAAGTGATGCAGCTGCTTGTCCATTGGTGTAGCTATGGATAAAAGCATTAAAAAAATGGATGACCTAAAAGCTGATAAAATTATATACACAATTTACATTCCTTTGCATTGCACAGGAATTTCTTTTGTATTATGCAAGAATTTATTTAAAGAAACTCCACAAAACAGTCCTCCATTAAAATGTCACTTCCATTTAGGAACAGTTATTGCAAAAGAACACTGAGGTCATGCAGTGCTGCTGACTGATGTGCACTAGCAGCACTTGGGTTTGCCTTATGCCTTATGTTCATCCAGATCTGTATTAATCAAAACTGTCTCATGATCTGTAGTGTCATATTGACTAATTATAGCAATGCTAATGACTATTGACAGTTATTTCTCTGTCTGCTGAAAAGAAACGGGGACAAGAACTTCCAGGACTCTTAGTATAATTTCTTCTTTGCAGACATGGGAAATTTCACGGACGCCAACCAGAGAAAAACAGTGACTGAAGGACAAGCTGCAGTTCTGAACTTCCTGCACATCCTCAGCTATCCAAGACCACAAGTGACGTGGTTTAGAGACGGGCACAAGATTATACCAAGCAGCAGAATGTAAGTCAATTTAAAGCTCAAAATACTCTTACCCTAAAATATGATTAATTATATTTGATAACGCAACTTACATTTTAAGTACGCTAATTAAGGTTTAAAGAGAATAAAGTAGCCTTGTTCATACGAAGTTTGAGATAAATGACTATTTTAAGACCATCTCTGAACTTCCTAAGCAGTTTGACAAAATAATTCATGTGGTTTTAATGGTCCTGGTGCAGCATAAGGGAGTAGATGTGCAGAACGTCTGCACTTCCTTCACGCTATTCATTTTCATGATACATTTTGGAAAAGTAAATGCTTATCTCTCAATTACGTTTACTTGAATGGACTAACTTAATGAGTACTGAGGTTCTTCTCTTTTAATATATGAGTGATTTTTTTTTTTTTTACATAAAGTCATGCTAGTACTGTTTTCCTCATGATAAAACTAAATATTGCTTTTTTCCCCCATTTCTTTAGCCTACAGTGACAGTTTTATTTCTTTTTGACTAATTAGCTGCTCACCCACTAATGGCACAGGACTTGCACTTTGATTAGTTATTATCTCAAGGCATGCTCATTTATCCTCTTTTGAAGCAGTTATGAAGCCCTTCTGTGTTTTTACCTGCACAGTTTTGTTTAGAGACTGAGGAGGTTACCTGTAACATTAAAAAATGTAGATAAAATCTTTGTTTTTACTTACCTAATTTATTAGAAAACTGTTGAAACACCAAGAACGTTAGTGATTATTTTTGTCTGTGTACTCTATTTTTAATGTGTTCAAAGGGATAGATGTGAAAGCAACTGATGGTAGTGGGATGTTGCTAAGTTCCAGAAGGGGCAGAATCTTTAGAGTTTATATTACACAGGGAAAAGTCTTCTGGGATTTTAGTTGTATTAATTTGTAGTGTATATTTTAGTGCTGGTTATGTGCATTTTTTAAACCTGAAAGCTGGCATTACAGCCTCTTTGAAACTGTTAAAATTAGTATTGTGGGGATGTGATGAAACTATGTAATAATTTATGAATAATTTAATAGTAATTTGATGGGAAACAGCTGGAAGATGAAACAATGAGTTTCTGGGCAATCTCTTGAAGAGAGCTAAGTGACAAATTCTGAGTTATTAACCATTAAGAATCTACTTTCTCCATTTCTGCCACATTACATATTTTCTTTTGTCAGTGCTGAGAATACACAAATCAAAAATTTGCAGGTGGTGAAAAAGCCTTGTTATCCAGGTCTCAGACAGTTTCTTGGAAACTATTACAGGAGAACAGAACAGAGTGACTTAGGCAGGCATGCAATGTCTGAAAATTAGATTTGTGTGAGTTCTCTTACAGTTTGGGAAAATTGCAAGTAGATATATTTGTCATGTATTCATTAATATAAAATCCTAATTTTCATATGCTGTGCTTTACTCTTACTCCTACCCTGTTGGGACTGTCAGGGTAAAATCACTTGTAATTCATAGCACCGTGGCAATGCTTACAAATGGGAAAACTGTAAGACTTGGTTCCCATAGTAGAGGTGAAATATACCTAAAAGTTTCCACATATATTTTATTTCCCTGGTCAGAAATTTTGTCTGAAAGGAATTTAAGGGCATTTGTCTGGACTGTGTAGGAATATCTGAATACTTTTTCAGTGGAAGTACAGATGCTGAAAGTATCAGCCTCCTTGGAAGTTTGATATATGTTGTATAGTAAGTTCAGGAAGTGACAGATTGATGGTACACATACCAATCATCAGTGCCCTGCATGTGCTGCAGGTCTGCTGCTCCCTCAAACTACTGGAAAAAGTATATAGCATCTACTCACAGACTGCTGTCTGTGAAATTCTCAAAGTGAATGCAGCAGCCCTATAAACAGAGAAAACCTGACACATGGAGACGATGCACAGAAAACTGAGAGATGTAAAAATACCTCATGGGAACACTGTTTCTGCCTGTGGAGCAAGTGGTGTGCTTGTAGTGTTTTCTGTACACAAAGATGCATCAATCTAACTGATCAGTTTAGCAGGTGATCCAGTCAGATTGATCCATCAGTTTAGTGGGTGATCCAGTCAGACTGGTGCATCAGTCTGACTAGATCACCTGCTAAACTGATCAGTTAGATTGATACAATGCCTTGTATGGATGCTCTTTAAACTGATGAAAAGTACCTTATTGCTAAATCAATATAAAGCTTTTTTAATCTTCTTAAACAAGCTTACAATGATTTGGCTAAATGAATGAGCTACTTTGTCAGCTATGATGATTGCCACGAGTGACATGGCTGCAGTGTGTGCAGAATGGGGAAATAAGCAGTGCTAAAAATGAGGACTGTAGTGGTGATTCTGGTGTAATTCATTCAAATAGTTGGTTGGGTTAACTCGTACATTACATTAAGGCTTTTACATGAGTAAGTGTAGTTAACACTGCACCATTTTTATGCCATATTACTGATCCTGATGCTTATATACACAGCTACTGTCACCACTAGAATGAATTCATTTCACTGATGCAGAAGCAGTGAGTGTACCGAGCTGTCCTCATGTGAGAAATGTCACAGATCAAAAATAAGGACTAGCTCTGGGACAAAAAAATAATTCTTAAGATGTTTCAAGGAATGTAATTTAATTGGCTCCACAGCAGGGTCTACCTAGCAGGCTTAAGGTAGTAAATGCAGATGTCTTTCTCCTTTAATTTTATTAATATTTAGGATATTTATGGGGAGGGGTTCTGCCAGCTCTTCTGCTTCCCAAAATTAGCATATTTCTTGGGAGCCAAGATAAGAGAATTGTTGGCTTGTCAAAAATTTCTGGTATTGCTGTTTGTGTGATATTAAAGATAATTTACAATAGGTCAGATAAGACTCTTACTTGTTCTTTGTGGTTACTAACAATTATTTACACATTAACACATTTGCCAGTTCTAACAGAATAGTAGGATCATATAGTAGTTTGGGTTGGAAGAGACCTTTAAAGGTGACCTGATCCAACCCCCCTGCAGGGAGCAGGGACATCTGCAACTAGAGCAGGTTGCTCAGAGCCCCAGCCAACCTGACCACCAACCTGTAATTTACTGTTTCTGTTAGTGATCATTAGGCTGAAAAGTATCACTTGTTTAGGCTGAGGGGAAAAAAAAAAGACTCCGTGTACAGCTCAGGTTTTACCTTTTTTCAGTCAGAATGGTAATTCTCCTCTGAGTGTGCATGGCTGTGATATTTTCTAAGAGAATGCTTTCTTTGGGATATAGGAGGTTTTTTTTTTTTTTTCAAACTGCATACTCTGTTTTATTTAACTGGTAGTGTAACTCATGGTGGAATTTTGCAGCAAATAACTATGTATTAATTCTTATTTTAGTGGTCTTGGTGCCATAATATCCTGTTAAAGTTCCCTGGATAAAACTAAGAATAGCACAAGTTCTTCCTGAGTGGGCATGTAAAGTTAACAAATCCCTGTGTAATATATGAATGTGAAGCAAATGGGCTGTGTGTACTCAGGGGGTTGTTGTTACACTTTATGACTGAAGGCAACTAACAAACCTGCAGCAGTGCTAGTGCATCATGATGATGTGGATTTAAAAATTTATGTCCTAAAATTTTCACACCCCATGCTTAGTACAATGCACATGTATATTCCCCCTGGCTTTTGTGCATTCTCTCTCACTAAAGCCTCAGCTTGATATTTTAAAGGGGCATTTCTAGATCATCAGAAAGAAGCTGTGTACATGCTAGAACAGTATAAAGTGGAGAACCAGAGAGAAGACCAAAAGATCAACAGCAAGAGAAAATAAACAAGGAGAGGAATTGGGGTTTGGGATGCTTTTTATTATTATCTTACATGAAAACTTCCTAAGAAGCTTTAGAAAAGACTTCACGTTACACCTAGACAGATTAATGTTTTCCAAATATACCAAACTAATGTAGAATTACAACTGCACTGTTATCCAGGCTCTTGACTGATGGGATGATTTCACCCATTTCCCCTCACATCTTACAGAAAACAATAGCTTCTCCAAAGGTAACAGCATCAAAAGAAATTGCTACTCTGAGATGTCAAGTCTTCAGCTTTGCCTTGCCTGGGTGTACTTCATCAGCCTTAAAAGCAGAAGGCATTTAACTTCCTTTGCAGGAGACATCCACAGCACCTTGGTGCAGCACAAAGGACAGGAGCCCCATCAAGCTCTACAATTGCCTCTCAGTTGTGGGACTGAGGAATTAAATTCTTAGTACTCTTAGAGGATTTTTTTACCATTGTGTAAGTGAAGGACTTTTTCACTGAAAAGGTTCACTGTAGCCATCAATTTATTTATTGTTGGTTTCTTCTTTAAGAGGAAAACTTCTATGAAGACATTATTCTTCGATGAAGACATTATTCTTCTACTATGAAGACATTATTGCTGTCTTCATTAACTTGCTTACAGTGAAACTATTTTTTTTTCCCCTAGTAAGCTGCAGTTAGATGAATACTAACTCATGGCTTTTGTTAGTGGAATTATGTCTGACACAAAACAGTAAAGTTCATTTTTGGCATATAAAGGCACTTCTGGAGTGTCCCTTTCAGCTCAATGGACATTTTGTCACTTAGTTAACTGTTAATGAACCAAAACACTTTAGAAATGCACTTCATCCCACTGGGCAGGGAAGATGAATTGCAGTGCCTTTAGGGATCCATGAGTTTAATATCTATTTTTGCAGTAAGAACAATTCATTCTGCATTTGAATGCGTGTGGTTGTTAGTAGCTCTTATAGAGAATAAATGTGCTGACATATTGTGGAATGAAAATATGTTAGGCACAAGCAACTGTCAAATACGACTTGCTGTGGTTTTGAACACTTGTTGCACCTTGCAAATAAGCAAAACTAGTGCAGATTTACTCACCATTTGTTTACTGTAAAATTGTAAATATATTAACGATAGTCTCAAAATGTAGCTGAGGCTAAGTAGCCTGTAAAAGATGAGAAAAATTAAAATATCTAGGAATAATACATCAGATTTTGGGCTGATATTAGCATTAGATGAGGTTTTGAGCCTTAATG